CCAGGTTGAGCGGAGCTCAAGAGTGAGCCGAGCCAACGGGCACATGGGCGGACCTGGCATAGTCCCCACCCCTATATATAAGATTTGAAGTACAACATGAGGAAGGGAAACTGTTGGACGCAGAGTCACGCCCACCGCCGCGGAAGCGATATGTCCTAAGAGAGAGCCCTGGCTTTTGTTTTCACAAAAGTACAAGTCAAACTCGATATCTGTGTTTCGCGAAGGAAACCAGACTCAGTAGCGAAATATCTCAGCGAAGTGAGATATCCACTCTTCCTCTCATCAGTGCAAGGACTGAACTATCGAGGGCACTTGCAAGTAAACAAATAGTTATGATTATTCAAAGACGAGATTTACGTGGTTCGACAAACTAAGCCTCGTTCCGAGAAATTGTAGGGGGGGCGGGGGAGGGGCGCGTTCACTAATGAGGGAGAATATCAAACTTTACAAATATCTCTCTCACTCACTCTTCTTTATCTTTTCAAAGAAACTCACACAACCCACTTAGTCATTTTATCCACACTAATTTTCCCACACTTCAATTAACTTCCTCCACCCCTTCTCTATTTATAGGAAACCAAAGGGGGGGGTCCGAAAAAAATTGGCGGGCGAAGAAACGCGGGATAAAGGAACGCGCGCGCGGGAACAAGCTCGAGCACGAGCTCCGATGCTCGCAGGCGTGCGGCGCGGCACAGTGGGCAGTCGCTCACGGAAAAAAATCCCACTCACGTGGGTGGGCCCCTGTCTGCATTCACAATTCTCCACCTCGTTCATCATTTGATAAACCTCAAATTTTGGTTGAACACCAGAAGAGCCCCACGAACTCCACCAGAGAGATCCAGGCCAAAACCAGGCCAAACCAGCTGCGTCACTATACCACGACTGCCTACGTACCCTCCACCGAGATCAAGCTAACTGTAGTTCTGCTACTATACTCTAACATAGTTTCCACCTCACTTCCAACTCTGCCATGTAGGGTCATGCCCTCTTGGGCAACTCAACACGGGCTGATATGAAGCAAGTCCAAGCAATGCTTAAACTTGCTATCTGTGACCACCTTGGTTAACATGTCCATGGGATTCTCATTCGTATGCACATTCATGAGAGAAATATCGCCTTCCTTTATGACATCCCGCACAAAATGATACCTGACGTCGATATGCTTAGTACGAGCATGGTGAACTTGATTTTTCACCAAGTGAATCACACTCTGACTATCGCACCACAAGTTCACGCTTTCCTGCTCGATCCCCAAATCGTCTAGAAGACCCCACAACCACAATGCTTCCTTCACTCCCTCCGCCATAGCCATGTACTCGGCCTCTGTTGTAGAAAGTGCCACTGTAGCCTACAACATCGATCGTCAACTAACTGGAGCTCCATGTATCCTAAATACATAACCAGTAGTAGATCGTCGTCTATCTAGATCGCCCGCATAATCTGAGTCCACATACCCGTCGATCTGACATGTATCTCCACCAAAATACAGACCCGTATCCGCGGTACCTTTCAAGTACCTCATGACCCATTTCACCACTTCCTAGTGCGTCTTTCTCGGATTCGCCATGAACCTGCTGACCATACTAATCGCCTGTGAAATATCTGGGTGTGTACACACCATGGCGTATATCAAACTGTCAACTGCACTAGCATAAGGAACACGCTCTATGTGTGCCTTATCTTCCGCTGTAGTGGGAGATTGTTTACCAGAAAGCCTAAAGTGTGGAACCAATGGGGTCACCACCGACTTTGCACTTTGCATCCCGAACCTCACGATCACCCGCTCTATGTAGCCCTTCTGACTCAAGAACAATCGCTGATTCGCCCGCTCTTTTTTAATCTCCATACTCAGTATTTTCCTAGCAGCGCCCATGTCCTTCATCTCGAACTCATTGCTAAGTTAAGATTTTAGCTTATCTATCTCCACCTTGTTCTTCGATGCAATAAGCATGTCATCCACATACAACAGGAGATAGATATAATCACCTCCACGAAGCTTCCGAATGTAAACACAACAATCATAGTCGCTTCGGGAAAAGCCATGCATGATGCTCCTTATCCTCAACCTTGTAGCCCTCAGGTTGATGCATATAGATCTCTTCATCCAAGTCTCCGTGCAAGAAGGCCGTTTTAACATCGAGTTATTCCAGCTCAAGATCACCATGAGCAACAATACTCAATAGCACCCGAATAGAAGTGTGTTTCGCCATCGGAGAAAATATCTTATTGTAATCCACACCCTCTCTTTGTGCAAACCTCTTAGCCACTAGCCTCGCCTTGTACCTCGTTCCACCGAGCTCTGAATGATCTTCCTTTCTTTTATACAGCCACTTACAACCTATAGCTTTCTTTCCTACGGGCAATGAGACCACCTCCCATGTTTGGTTCTTCCGGAGAGATTCCATCTCTTCCTCCATCGCTGTCAACCAACTCTCGCTATCTTTATCCCGAATAGCTTCCTTGAAGGAGACCGTCTCATCTTCCTCCACCGAGAGTGTGTACTCAACCAAATTAACATGCTCATAGTGCTTCAGGGGTTGATCAGCCCCCAGCTTCTGTACCTGCTTGTATGCTCGCCTTGGCCTAGTGGAAGCCAAGCTATCCTCGACCTGCTGTTGTTGTAGTGCCTGTGTATTCTCCCGCTGAACCTCCTCCTGCTCAAGCTCATCATCTACCTGAATTTCCACTTGAACACGACTAGAACCTGGTTGGTCTTTAGGTTCTATCTCAATAACCTGGGACTCGGGAGTCCCAACAGTCTCAACACCACCATCTTTGGGCACCCTAGAAATCATGGATTTCTCATCAAAGGTAACGTCCCTGCTGATCACGAACTTCGAATCTTCTGTATACCAAAGGCGATAGCCTTTTACACCCTTTGCATACCCCAAGAAAATTGCATTCTTGGCCCTTGCGTCAAGCTTTCCATCATTGACGTGATAGTAGGTGGTACACTCGAAAATCCGAAGCCTCTCATAATCTGCATGCTCCCCTGACCACACCCGATAGGGTGTATCACCGTCCAATGTCGAATGTGGAGATCGATTCACTATATAGCAAGCTGTAGCAATCGACTCTGCCCACCATTCGTTGCCCAAACCAGCACAAGATCGCATACTCACTGCTTTCTCCCACAGTGTTCGGTTCAGTCTCTCCACGACCCTATTTTGTTGTGGTGTAGATCTAACTGTCCAGTGTATAGCAATGTCCTCCTGATCACAGAACTCCTTGAAGGCACCATCTGTGTACTCTATACCGTTGTCAGATCTCAGTGTCTTCAATTTCTTCCCTGTCCTGTTCTCAACCATCACCTTCCACTTCTTGAATGTCTCAAATACCTCATTCTTATGCTTCAGAAAATAAATCCAAGCATACCTAGAATGATCATCTATGAATGAGACAAAATATCTGGAACCACCTTTGGAAGTTGTCAAAGCCGGACCCCAAACATCCGTGTGCACATAATCTAGTATCCCTCTGCTCTTGTGCTTGCTCCTCAGAAACTGGACCCTGTGCGCCTTTCCATACACACAGTCCTCGCAAAAATCCATGCAAGGTTTCTTCAGATTCTTTAACAAACCCTCTTTACCAAGCAGATCCAGACCCTTCTCTGACATGTGCCCAAGCTGCCTATGCTATAACCGTGTGTGCTCACATGGGTCTCCACCACTTCCTTCAGCTCCAACTGCTGCATCTCCCGTCACTGTCATACCCGAGAGAGTATATAGATTACCGTGACGAACACCCTTCATCACTGTTAAGGAACCCCGAACAACCCTCTTTACTCTGTTCTCTATTACGATCTTGCAACCCCCGGAGTCCAAAGCACCAACTGAGATTAGATTCTTCCGTAAGTCGGGAACGTGCCTTACATCCGTTAAGGTTCGAACCACTCCATCATGCATCTTGATCTTGATATCACCTAGCCCCACCGTTTTACAAGCATGGTTGTTCCCCATCAGTATGGTTCCACCATTAATGTTCCTGTAGGTAGTAAACCACTTCCTATTTTGTAGGGTCCTGTTTTTACTTATGTATACCAAGTGTAGGATCGTGACCCTTAAGAATAGAGTGCGCTCTTATAAAAATCTGCGGAAGCTTTACACTTAAACATTAGAGGGTGAGTTTGCAAAGTAGATTATAAATTGCAAAGAAAGAATGGCAATCTTAGAAAATGAACATCACAAACACAAGCATGTATACTGGTTCCACCTCCCCGGTGTACATCCAGTCCCCAAGAAAATCCCGCTTGAGATTTCCACTATGATTTTGAAACCTTACAAAATCAAAAGCAAACCTGACCAATTTGCAAGACCATGCAAATTGCAACACCAATTGACAAGACCATGCCAATTGCCACCCAATCTCTAAACCAAGAGATCAACCCTCTCAAACCCGAGAGAAATCCTTTTTGAAGCAAGAATACAATTGATCATATAAGCCTTAAATGTGTAGTGAAGTGCTGCAGTGGCTTAGGATTCTTTTAACTCTCTGAATATTGCCTATACAACCTCTAAGAATGATTGAAACCAATGCAATATTAGAAACTCTCTTTTTCTAAATACTTAGCATGAAAATCTAGAAAATTAGAGAGTAAATATACACAAATGTTTGATCTTGTGTGTATGAATGAGTTGTGCAAATTTCTGAACTTATAACCTATTTATAGCCCTTGAAAAGATAAGTTTTCAACCCCTAAAAACGTATACAAAACGGCTATAAACAGACACTTATTCAAAACCTGAAATCTAAAAAACTGCATCTGTAGTCGACTACAAGTCATAGTAGTCGACTACACTGAGTCTAAACAGACTCTGTGAAGTCAGAAAATTACTTAGTAGTCGACTACAAGACATAGTAGTCGACTACACTGTAAACTCACAGATTCTGGAATTTTCCTTTTAGTATTTTGACTGTAACTTGGAATGATTTGTTGGAAAGCTCTTGAAGAGACCTACAACTTTGATCTTTGAGTTTTTCCAGATTCTAATTTCTAAGGGGTGTAAATGAAATATTTTAAGACTCACTCAATATCTATAAACTCTAATGGCTAACATAGGGAATTTTTATTGTTAACCAACACACTAAGCATGTGTTAGTGTGTTCTAACGCTATGTGTGTGCATGTGTGTGAGTGATCAAGGCTTGTACAAATTTCTAAGCAAAGAAAATATAAAATTACATTTTGACAATAAAGTATATCTTCTTCTTTGCTTCATTTTGCCTTGAACTCATTTATGTCTTGAGTATCTCTTTGACTATAATTGTTGATATAGTTCTGATACTGCAAAACAAATGTTAGCACATAATATATACAACATATAATATTTGTTATCATCAAAACAAACTAATCTTGGGGTCAAGATTCCTAACACTATTTGGACACATATGGTAAGAGCAACCAGAATCGAGAATCCACTTCCCGGAGGTATCCTCGCCACCCGTGACGACATAGCATTCCTTATCGCTCCCTTCCCCTGAAGCGTAGCTCGCCTCTTCATTGCTTTCTCGTCTTTCAGTCTTGTTATTGTTCTTCTTCCCACCTACTCTCTTGTAAGGACAATCGACCTTGAAATGCCCAACTTTACCGTATTTGAAATATGCTCGTCCCGCAAGAGGTCTCGATTTAGATCTAGAATTTCCTCCCTTGCCTTTTCCTCGCTCATTGTTTCTTCCTCTGGCAAACAGTCCCTGCGCTTGTTCTTTATTACCACCAGTGGCCATATCACTAGTTGTAATTTTTCGAAGATCATCCGCTAGAAGCGTTGTTCTAGTCTCATCCATCGACAAAGTATCACCCACAAGCATCAGTGTTTGCACCAAGTTCTCATAAGACTTCGGTAGAGATAAAAGTAGTAGAAGCGCCTGATCCTCGTCTTCCACTATCACCTCAATGTCTTTCAAATCCGATATGATCCTATCGAACTTGTTGATGTACTCCCGGATTGACGAGCCTTCCTCCATCTTGTAAGTATACAATTTGGATTTTAAATAGATCCGGTTCGTTAAACTCTTCGTCATGAAGGTGCTTTCTAACTTCAACCACACGCCCACAGCCGTTTCCTCCCCGTCCACCAAGAAAGCTACATCACTTTCAAGGCAAAGGATAATCGACGCCCGTGCTTCCAGATTCAGTTCCTCCCAATATTCATCAGACATATTTTTGTTCTTCTCTTTTCCAGCCAAAGCCTTGTGTAATTTTTACGAAATCAGCGAATTTTTCATCTGTATCCTCCAATAGGAAAAATAATTTTTCCCATTAAATTTTTTAATCTCGTATTTACCAACTTTACTTGTTTTACTTGTAGAAGCCATTATCCGCTTGTATTATATAAATCCATTCTCTCAGGATTTTTAACAAATTCCTTGTGTACACCACATAATAATCAACCACCACCTCAGATTAGTAGCTCAACCACCGCCAATCTGAATAAGGGCTCTGATACCAATTGTTGGGCGCAGAGTCACGTCCACCACCGCGGAAGCGATATGTCCTGAGAGAGAGAGAGCCCTGACTTTTGTTTTCACAAAAGTACAAGTCAAACTCGATATCTGTGTTTCACGAAGGAAACCAGACTCAGTAGCGAAATATCTCAGTGAAGTGAGATATCCACTCTTCCTCTCATCAGTGCAAGGACTGAACTATCGAGGGTACCTACAAGTAAACAAATAGTTATGAAAATACAAAGACGAGATTTACGTGGTTCGGCAAACTAGCCTTCGTCCACGGGAGGAGGGGTTTCACTATGAGGAGAATACCAAACTTTACAAGTTCTCTCTCAACTCACTCTTTCTTTTCTTTCAAAGAAACTCACACAATCCACTTAGTATTTTATCCACACTAATTTTTCCCCACACTCAAAACTCCTCCACCCTTCTCTATTTATAGGAAACCAAAGGGGGGATCCGAAAAAAAATTGGCGGGCGAAGAAACACGGGATAAAGGAACGCGCGCGCGGGAACAAGCTCGAGCACAAGCTCCGATGCTCACAGGCGTGCGGCGCAGCACAGTGGGCAGCCGCCCACGAAAAAAAATCCCACTCACGTTGGTGGGCCCCTGTCTGCGTTCACAGAAACTATACACCTTGTTTGGATGGAGGTTAATGGATGGAAGTTAAAGTGAAATTTCAATTTCACCTTGTTTGAGAGTTTTTTTTGAGGGGTTTGAGGATGTAATGGAAGGTTAAATTTCCTTTCGTTTTCCTCCCCTCCAATTTGGGAGGTAGATGATGGAATGAAAACCAATGTAAAATTTTACAATGTAATAAGACAATTATACCCTTATGATATTAAAATCAATGGCTAAGATATACTCTCATTCGATATGTAAGGGTATTTATGTAACTTTATACATATTCACTTCCTTTTCTTCCTCTTTAGTAGAACTCCCAAACAAGGTAGAACAAATTTACTCCCATTCCCCTTACTAAACTCTTAAATAACATTTTATTTTTTCACTTCTATTTTTTACCTTTCCTATCTATTACTTAACTTTCCGTCCTTTTCCTCAGGGCTTGTTTGGATTGAGGGGAATGAGGGTGAAGAGAAGTTAGGGGAATCATTCACCTTCATTCACCTTGTTTGGGAACATTTAGGAGGTGGAGTTATTCACCCTATTTCCCCTTGATTCATCCCCTAATAGTATAGAATTTGTTACCTCCCAAATTAGGGTGTAACCAAAGGGAAGAGAACTCCCTTCTTTTCCCTTCCCTTCCATTTTCTCACCTAGTTTCACTTAACTTCCCTTCACCCCCTACAAATCCAAACAGGCCCTCAGTAAACTCCCAAAGAAAGCCTTTGAGTATTTAAGTCCCCTCGCGTGCAACTCACGCGCTTCCTTCCCCAAAATTAAAAGCGCACGTGCAGCATCACCAATCAACTAAAACGCAAGTGGGGACATCAATATTTTCTTCTTCCCAATTCTACCCTCCTATTCCCATCACGTGATAGCAAGAACTAAGGGCATTCTAGTCATTTCATTATGAAAACTAGTTCGCAGCTAATGAGAGAGATTGAGATCCCTCAGCTGGCTCATGTAGCTTCAGTTTCTCTTCCCTCTTCTCGTTCCTCTTCTCGTTCCAAAGATCAAGCGAGCAGAGGAGGGAGGGAGAGAGAGAGAGAGAGAGAGAGAGAGAAGAAAAACCTATTCTCTCTCTTAAACCCTGTTCTCTCTTTAATCCTCTCGATCTCAAGTTGAGCTTTTGGCGATGAGTAGCGGAGATCTTCTCAGAATCCAGCCATCCGAGCTCAAATTTCCATGTAAATTCCTCTCCTTTATGCTTCTTGTTTTCTGCAATTATTAGGTTTTATTTGGAAAATCTCGCTTACCCATTTGAATTCTTTGGTTTTTATGGTGAGATCTCGACTACCCAATAGTATGCTTTATGATTTTGGGTAAGTTTATTGATATAGGATGAGTGGAACGAGAAGTGACATTAGGAATCATCTAGGCTAAGTTTATTTTGATCTGGGCTTGCTTGATTCTTGCTCTATTTCAAATTACCGAACTTGATTTTTCTTGATCCCTAGTTGAATTGAAGAAGCAGAGCTCATGTTGCATGCAATTGACCAACAAGACTGATCAATATGTGGCCTTCAAGGTAACTAATTTATTTGTTCACTTTGGATTCTCCTCAAATGTCACTCTCTTAGCAGTGCCCCCCTTTTTGATTAAAGAAAACAAATGTTTAATGTCTATTTCCATTGGCCTATTGGTAATGCTTCACGTTTCTTGCTTCGGGTTGTAGGTTAAAACCACCAATCCTAAGAAATATTGTGTGCGACCTAATGCGGGAATTGTTCTTCCTGGGTCAACCTGCGATGTCACTGGTATGTGTCTTCTTATTTGTATCATGTAGTTTCAAGTCTTTGGTATGCTTTTAACATGTAATAGTCTATATGTCATATTCACATCCTTTAACATGTAATAATTCTTGCTTTAGCAATAGTTTGTGATGGGATTGCTAGAGTTTCATTGTTAGTTAGTAATCCCTTGGGTGAATATGCATTATTTTTGTTGTTTTATGTTTAGTTACAATGCAAGCTCAAAAGGAGGCTCCACTGGACATGCAATGTAAAGACAAATTCCTCCTTCAAAGTGTTGTGGCTGAGCATGGTGCGACTTTGAAGGACATAACCCCTGAAATGGTACAATCTTTGTTGATACTTTTTGACTAATAATTATTTTTCTTTTCGTTTATTTGGGACTTGCATGGTTATTGTTGAATGCTTTGTGTTTTAGTTCAATAAGGAGCCCAATAAGGTTGTTGAGGA